GGAAAGGGAAGGGAAGGGAAGGGAAGGGAAGGAAAGGAAAGGAAAGGAAAGGAAAGGAAAGATAAAGGAAAGGAAAGGAAAGGAAAGGAAAGGAAAGGAAAGGAAAGGAAAGGAACGGAACGGAAAGGAAAGGAAAGGAAAGAAAGGAAAGGAAAGGAAAGGAAAGGAAAGGAAAGGAAAGGAAAGGAAAGGAAAGGAAAGGAAAGGAAAGGAAAGGAAAGGAAAGGAAAGGAAAGGAACGGAACGGAAAGGAAAGGAAAGGAAAGAAAGGAAAGGAAAGGAAAGGAAAGGAAAGGAAAGGAAAGGAAAGGAAAGGAAAGGAAAGGAAAGGAAAGGAAAGGAAAGGAAAGGAAAGGAAAAAGGAAAGGAAAGGAAAGGAAAGAGGAAAGGAAAGGAAAGGAAAGGAAAGCACTGGCCTTGAGCAAAAGAGCTCAGGGACAGTACTCAGATCCTGAGTTCAATCACCATGATTCACACATACAAAAAGAAGAAGAAGGAAAGGAAAGGAAGGAAGGAAGGAAGGAAAGAAGGAAGGAAGGAAGGAAAGAAGGAAGGAAGGAAGGAAGGAAGGAAGGAAGGAAGGAAGGAAGGAAGGAAGGAAGGAAGGAAGGAAGGTAGGAAGGAAGGAAGGAAGGAAGGAAGGAAGGAAGGAAGGAAGGAAGGAAAAAATAAGGAAAGAAAAAACGTACACATGATACTTAAAAACGTGCTCTTTACTATCTGGCATAAGGGAGATGGGACAAATTGATATAATCTGGGCAGACTTTGTGACCTGTCTTATTTCCTTCCTCTTTGAATTTAACTTGTTCTCTCAGTGTGATATAGTAAGGATGCATTATGCTAGGGGATTATATCCTGTCTTATAAAATCAAAGCATACTCACCCAAAATGCAAAATAGGAGTAAACGTAATAGAGTAAGTCACATTTACTAATTTAATAAATAGAATAAATAGAGTAAGTGTAAGTAAAATAGTAGAGTAAGTAATATTTACTAATGTTAGTAAATATCCTTTAATGATATATATTCTCTCTTGAATGGGATCAACTTAATTTATCATTAATAAATTCATGACCCATTATTAAATTCAGAAATCTCTCTTAGCAGCATCTCATACCAGCTGGAAATATTTTGTAAAGAAATTGTGATATCTCAACCATAGCTTCTCATGAACAGTTTCATATCAAACTAAATGTCAGTAGATATCCTTCCAGTTTAGTTTTTGCTCATAGTTAATGAATAAGCAAGAATTAGATATCTTGCATATAAATAATACAAAAGAAAAGAAAACTAAGCAATATTAGGACTATGAGCCGGTTGGCTTTGTGTCTTCCACTTGATGGGCTTTGATACCCTGTAACTACTATAAAAATTTACTTTTTAAAAAAGAATCCATGGGCATTTAGAGCTATAACATCAGTGCAGAGAAATTACACATGGTAGGAGTATACAGCTTCTCTGAGACTTTTCACAAAATATGTGAGCAATGGCACATACCATATAAATCTATTTTTATTTCATATTTATTTACATTTATGCTGTATTTATTATATCATAATATTTATATATTTATTGCTGATACCATGGTTTAAACTCAAGGTCTTGTGCTTGCTTAGCTTGTTTTCTTTGCTGGCATTTTACTACTTGAACATGTCTCCAGTCCTGTTTTTTGCTGTCTGTTTCGGAGATAGATTCCCATGTACTTTTCTGCCTGGGCTGGCTTTGAACAGTGATCCTCTGAATCTGAGACTCCTGAGTAGCTAAGCTTATAGGCATAAGCCAAATCTATTAAGCCACCTCTGTTTTAGAGATTTCATGACAGTTCAAATGTAACTATAGGCTTAAAGAGAAAGATATACAGGATAGACTATTATATATTTTTGAAAAGCAACTAAATTATAATCAAATCCACGTCCTTGAATATAGTTGATATAGATTTTAAGAAAAAAGTTTGAAACTACTAATTTGCCAATCTTAATGAGCTTATATTTATTTATTATCGTCTAATCTATTATTGAAAATAGCTCTAAGAAAATCTTATGTTCTACCCATATTAGTAACATCTCAATGTGGAAACAGCTTTTGCTTGAAGTACAATTGAATCTCAATGTGGATGGTACTCAGGAGTTTGTAGAGGAGCCCCTTCTGTCCTCTTAAAGATGTGCCTACTGCCATCAGAGTACTGGCTGCCAACCTTCTGCCTTTCAAGTCCAACAGATGAGGGATTCTAAGAAACATCACTTCTTGCCTGTGAAACACACTGGGCATAGAAAGAGGGTTACCACAGGCCAAGGATGGATACCATAGCTTACTATCTCACTATCTGGTACATTGAAATTTTATTTAAAGCATCTGTATGCAAACTTTGTATGTTAACATTCATGTATTTACCTCAAAGATATGATTTATATCTTCTTTATATAAAAATTAGCCACTTTAAAGTATAGACTGAAGGAAATTCAAAATGGATTTGTCTCACAGTTGAAAGTAATCATGTCGAGAAGACATAACCTTTTGATACTTATATTTATCATTTTAGTCACAAATGTTGCAGAATACTCTGAATTTTGCTTTGTGTTTTGATAAGCAAGAACTGTGGTTTATCATTCTTCAGTGTCACAAGCATGACTAGAAGACAATAATGGTTAAGATAAATTTGTGATCTTTTCTTCATTAGAAAAAAGGTTTTAAGAATCAACATATAAGTATGTATTTACTTCAGTTAACAATACTATTTTAAAATGTTTAATATTTATTTGAAATCATTCCAGGGAACCATATGGAAGGGGCTAATAATATTCCTCTTCCTCCTCGTCGTCGTCCTCCTCCTCCTCTTTCTCGTCCTCCTCCTCCTCCTTGTCCTCCTCTTCATCCTCCTCCTTCTCCTCCTTCATGAGTCCTCGGGTTGAACTCTGTCTGGGCACTGTCCCTGAGCTGCTTTTGCTCAAGGCTAGCAGTATACCACCTGAGGCACAGCACTACTTCTGGCTTTTTCTGTTTTTGTGCTACTGAGGAATCAAACCCAGCGCTTTATACATGCTAGATAAACACTCTACCACTAGGCCACATTTCCAGCCCAACAATACTATTTTTAAATTAAGGATCTGTAGGAAATAAATTGGTAGTTTGCCAATTTGTTTTTCACATGAATGGTTTATACTGGATATATTTATGAGTTATTGAATTATCAAGTCCTTTTATGTGTATAATTGTTTGAAATGATGCTATATATCAGACATTCATATCTAAATTTATGAGGAAGAAATATGGAGGCTAACATCACAGATAGTCAGTGATATTATCTAGGAATTGGATCTGGGTGGCTCCTGCTAACCAATTGCAATTGAAGGTAATATTATAGAACTAGTGGGAACTATATGTTTTTTTTAAATTTCAGTATACTAAAAGCCAAAAAGCTGAAGTATCTTGCCTTTGACTATATTGCGAACTGCAGAGCTGGAATTATAAGGTACAATAGCAAGGCTACGTTAAGCAAGATTGTAGCAAACTTGAATCTCAGTGGATTTAATATAGAAAAGTGTGCTTTATTCTTTCATAATGGCTACTAGGTATTCAGAACACCCTGAGAAATGTATTCTACTTCCCTTACTGCCTTAGACTGGAAGTGACACATTAAATTCCTTTACAAAGAATGAAAACAAATGATCTCAACTACACTTTCAGAATGTGTGCAGGAATGTAGTCTTCTTACAGATGTCCTTGTCAGAATGAGTCCTTATACTCTGCTACTTACTCTTATCGTGACACTTATCTATGTCTCAACTTAGATACTGTGAACTTTGAATCTGGTCTGATGTTATTCAAAGAAAATTTGTATCCTTAAGAACTGTTTATTCTTAGCTTTCCTTGCTTTAAAAATATTAACTTAAATATTAAAAATATTAATATTCTTATAATGGATGGGATTTGGGATATTTCCTTTATCATACACAATATTAGACAATAATAAACCCTTATTCAAAATTGATAGAGAAACGCATTAGGCTTCAAGAAAGAATTTAGGTTTCAGATTTATTTCTTCAGGTTTTACAGTGAAAATGAGCACTCTGAACATTTCATATCCCTATTTTCTCTTGAAAAATGTCATTCTATAGCTCCAACTACATTTTCTTAGGTGAAATAGCTACAAAAAATATCATTGTAAAACAGAGGAAAATTAAGCCAAGAAATGATGTTTTTATAGTACTCTGAACAAAAGCATGGTATATAAATGAGAGACATACACTTCATATTTATCATATTCATATAATATATAATGATGCAAAAATTCTAAAATTAAGTAATATTTTAATAAAAGATATAAACCTCACTCTACACTGACACCAAAGGACAATAAAATACGGTAGAACAATTTAATATCACCGAACAAGTTGTGCCATGAAGATTTTACTCTGCAGCCATGTGCCCATAGAGGCCTGGCTCATAGCCTCTGGGACCTTTGGAAAGCTCTATCTTTGTACAGAGAATTGGGACAAACAAGAGGCTTTATACTAAGGATGACACGTGTGAATGTTTTTGTTATCCTAGGATGCTGACCATAGTATGTAAGTTTACTTCAATGGAGACAGGAGGTTATAAGGACTGAATCTCATAGCTGATTCATGACTCCATGAGCAGCCCCCAGTAAAAACTCTGATGTTAACACTCTTGTGAGTTTCTCTGGTTGGTACCATACCTTGTCTCATACTGTTGCTGGGGGAATTAACTTCTGTCTGCTTCTACTATATTAGTCAAGAATAACTCAAAGTTTGCTCATGGACTTTGCTGTCAGGTTTGCTTTTAATGCCTTTGCTTCAATTTTCACTGCAATAAATGGCACTGCTTTAGCCAGATCTTCAAGTCTTTCCAGTGAATTACTAAAAAGGAGGGAGTTCTTAAGTCCTTTAAAGCTCAAAGTGAATGAAAGTTCATAAATAATTTTCTAAACAAATTATGAGACCAATTATCATAATAATATTTCAAGTATTTGTTAGGCACTTTTGAATGAATATCCTTTTCTCTATTCTCTATAAAGACACAAAGAATCCAGCATCATTTTAATCTGTAGACGTCTAAAAGCTTTGTGCATAAGGGTGTGAATTTTAACCTAATCTTACAGAGCTCAGGAGAGAATAGAGCAATGCTTGAAAGCTGCAATCCAGACAACAGTGTGATGAAAAGAAATGAGTTGAAATGTGACTATGAGGTAAGTAAAAAGTTAGTCCTAGCAATGTAGATTGGGGCCAAGTTGAAGAGGTTTTTGATTTTGCTGTTGTTTTCCATGAGACCAACAGATACACTTTCAGTAAATTTCAGTTAATCAGATTTCTGAAAGTTTCTGTATGAAGACAATTCCCTATAGGGATCTCTGTATGCTGCTAAATTCTAATCAAAATCTTACTGTTAGAAAAAGAACCTGTAATAAGGATATTGCAGTATTCCACACATATCCTCTCACTGTGACGTCCTTATCAAATTTACACAATACAGAACTGCAAAAGTGATTTGTCTCCAGCCAGAAGTTGTTTTCTCCACCTACCGTCTAAGAATCCAGCTATGTTCTCTTGGATTATTGTAAATCACAGTAGTAAAGGTTTCACAATCACAATCATAATTTGGGTAATGAAATATGATGCAAATCCACTTCTATCCCAGTTTCCCTGTGTTTTCCCTGGCTCTAAAGCTTCCAGAATGACTGTTGTCAGAAAGATGCACTGGCATTTATGTTATTGATCACAGAGAACCTGAATGCATACTGGTTTATTTGGAATTTATTTTTGAGGGATGAGGGTTAGAATGGGTGGAGCTCATAAGGTATCAGGTTGAGGTAAATATTTGGATTACACAAGAACATGAGGACCTCATGTAGGGTTTCAAAGGTTATAGCTTCATGATGACCACCTCACATTTTCACTTGCACCAGCTTGCCCACTGCCTTTTCCCCACTGCTATATAAAGATAATATATCAAAGATATGCACTGATTTTAGTTTGTATTGTTTGTTTGTGTTTCTTCTGTCAAATGTGGAATATAAAGGCAATCTGTATTTGATGTTCCTTAATTTGATTCACTTCAAAATTCAGGTGATTTGGCCACATTGAAGTACTAATTTTCTCACAGCTATAGACTATCTTTCACATTTATGAATGTATCATCTGTGTTTATATTATGTGAACGTTTATTCCATTTGCTTCTTACTATTTAGTAGACATGAGCTTGCAATACAATAAAATTAGACCTCTTATTTATTTCCTTTTCCTTAAAATTATATTCTTTCATATATTTCCTATCTCAATGTCATCAATGTCCACGATGATTTCTAAGTCAGAAGCTGCAATCATTATGACTTTTCCCACTTCTTCATAAGTCCATTTAGCCACCAGGTTCCAGATAATTTACTGCCAGAAACTTCATTATCCTATGCTCATTTTTTCCTGTTCTCCTATATATAAACAGCAGCATTACTTTAGGCAACTATTCTTGTCTGATTCCTGTTTCTTGTTTTGTATTTTTCACTTTGAAAATATATCATGAAATGTTGTAACAGATGCTTAGAGTATAGAGCATGAGACGTAAAAGGGTCAAGGTAAATCTTGTTTCCTTATGCTGCTAATCCTAGAGGAGTCTTCTATTGAGGAAAACGAACTGGAGCTATAGAATTGGAGTTCTATTGATATGTTAGGCTGAGCACCTGGGTGGAGATGTTGAATTGATGACTGACCCATAAATTGGATTTAAGGATACAGATTTTGGAAGTCACCTGGTTAGTAGTGGTATCAAAAAGCCAAAAGTTTGGATAAGGTCAAAAGGAACTGAGTCTAAGTAGAAAAGGTAGCTGTCTGTAGACTAATAAGTAGAAATTTCCAATTATTTAGGGGATGAGATAAAGGGGACAAGGGAAGTATAATGTAGGTGAAGGTCAGCTACAGGGAAATGTAGTTGTAGATGTGGGAGGGAAGGGATGGTAGGGGAAAAACAAAGGAGGAGGCAACAATGCTTGATAAGAAATGTACTCATTACCTGGCTCATGTAACTGTAACCCCTCTGTACAATATTTTCACAATAAAAAACTTATTTAAAAAAAGAATAATTGAGGTGATTAAGCAGGAGCTTCCAGAGATGTGGAAGATAACCCTCACAAGTGTGGTGTTGGAAACGAAGTGATAGGCTCTGGGAACTGAAGGTGAAGGGGAAATAGATGAGAACAATTAGCAACTTGAAGGTTATTGGTGACTTTCTAATTCTACTAAAACATTGGGGCAAAAATCAATTTTGAAGAGTGTCTAAAAAGAATTAGATAATAGATTGAGAAGGAAGAGTATAAGTGAGGTGTATAAGGAAGAGTATATAAGTGAGCAGAGAGGGGCTGGGAAGATGGCTCAGTGGTAGAGCTCTTGCCTTGCATGCCTGAGGCCCTGGGTTCGATTCCTCAGCACCACATAAGCAAAAAAGAAAAAAGCCGGAAGTGGCGGTGTGGCTCAAGTGGTAGAGTGTTAGCCTTGAGCTGAAGAGCTGTGGGACAGCGCCCAAGCCCAGAGTTCAGGCCCCACGACCGGACCCCCCCAAAAAAAATAAGTGAGCAGAGAAATGGGATGGTTTTCTAAAAAGAGAAGTACACTCTAAAAGGGTTTTTGAGATGAGAGGTGTTTCATGCTACTGAGCAAGAGAAAATTGATGGCACAGGCAAGGAAGAAGAGAGGGAGCAGAGTAATGTTCTTGATAAGCAAGAGGGGATTGGATCTGATACATGAGTGGAAGGACTGGATTTATCTAAGATCATGGAGATTTCCTGAATGCACAGAAGAGGAGGCCGAATGCATAGCTCAGATGTGGACAGATGAGATGTGATGAGAGCTTGTGAAGTTTTCTTCCTGTTGATGCAATTCTCACTGAGAAATGCAAACCAGGGCACTGGGAAGGTGGCTCAGTGGTATAGCGCTTGCTTTGCATGCATAAGGTGCTGGGTTCGATTCCTCAGCACCACATAAGCAAAAAGAAAAAAGCCTGAAGTGGTGCTGTGGCTCAAGTGGTAGAGTGCTAGCCTTGAGCTGAAGAACTGAAGGACAGCGCCCAGGCCCAGAGTTCAGGGCCCACGACTGGACCCAAAAAAATAAAAGAAATGCAAACCAAGGTCATGATCTGGAAGTGAGGAACTGAAAACTTTGGGAGGTAATTTTCTTTTTCTCATGTCTTAAAGAAATTTATAAGCCTATGAACTGGGTACCTGTAGCTCACATCTGTAATCTTAGCTACTCAGGAGGCTGAGATCTGAGAATCATGGTTGAAAGCCAGCCTAGGCAGGAAAATCTGTGAGATTTTTATATCCAGTTAACCACCAAAAGCCAGAATTGAAGCTGTGGCTCAAGTGGTAGAGCACAAGCCTTGAATGAAAAAGGTAAAGGACAACACCCAGGTCCTGAGTTCAAGCTTTGGGACTAGTACATGTACACACATGTACGAGTGCATGCACACATGCCACCACACCCACACATGGCTACTTGAATAAAAATAGAACAATTTATACAAGAAGTTGGAGATTTAAAAGATAAAAAAAGATACATAAACCTTCAGCTAAGCTGACTAAAGGAAGGAGGAAACAGGCTCAAATGAATAAAATTGTTGGTGGGAGTATAAACTTGTTCAACCACTTTGGAAAGTAATATGCAGGTTCTTCAAAAGACTCCACATAGAGCTCCCCTATAACCCAGCAATTCTACTTTTGGGCATTTACACAAATGCTCACAAACAAGACCACACTAAATCTACCAGCACGACTATGTTTATTGCAGCTTTATTTACCATAGCTAAGATATGGAACCCACCCAATGCCCCTCAGTAGATGAATGGATCCAGAAAATGTGGTATGTATACACAATGGAATTCTATGCCTCCATAAGAAAGAATGACATTGCCTCATTTGTTAGGAAATGTTAGAAAGACTTGGAAAAAATTATATTAAGTGAAGTAAGCCAGACCAAAAGAAACATAGGTCCCATGGTTTCCTTTATTTTCAATTCCTAGTGTATGTCTGAGTCAAACAGAAAAGATCAGATAGGTTGCTGTTAGGGAAATAAAATCTAAGATAGGTATTCAAATGTATTTTTTTCTTTCATGCGATTGTTTCTAACACATTTGTAAGATTATTTCTTTTGTTGCTTTGTATGTCCCTTTCCCACGATATAACATCTGCTTTCACTGTATTTGATATTGTTATAATTTGTGAAGGGGAAGGGAAAAAACATATCATTTAAATAGGGATAGAGGTGGACCCATTGCAACAATGAGACGTACAAGTTGTTATGTCAAAAATGAACTTTACAACTTTGTTGGGGGGGAGGGGGGCAGTGTGGGGAGGATTGGGTGAGGGGGGTGGGGGGAGGATGGGAAGGGATAGGAAGGGGAAGCAAAGGAGGAGGCTACGATGCTTGATAAGAAATGTACTCATTGGGGCTGGGAAAGTGCCTCAGTGGTAGAGCCCTTGCCTTGCATGCCTGAGGCCCTGGATTTGATTCCTCAGCACCACATAAACAAAAAGAAAAAATCCGGAAGTGGCGCTGTGGCTCAAGTGGTAGAGCGCTAGACTTAAGCTGAAGAGCTGAGGGACAGCGCCCAGGCCCAGAGTTAAGGCCCCACAACCGGACCCAAAAAGAAAAAAGAAATGTTCTCATTATCTTGCCCATGTAATTGTAACCGCTCTGAACAGTATTTTCACAATAAAAAAAGTGGGGATAACACACACATCAATGAAATAATGAGGATAATGGGCTGGGAAGGTGGCTCAGTGGTAGAGCGTCTTGCCTTGCATACCTGAGACCCTGGGTTTGATTCCTTAGCACCACATAAGCAAAAGGAAAAAAGCGGGAAGTGGCACTGTGGCTCAAGTGGTAGGGCGCTAGCCTTGAGCTGAAGAGCTGAGGTACAGGGCCCAGGCCTAGAGTTCAGGCCTCACGACTGGACCGAAAAAAAAATCAAAAATAATAAAGAAAAGAAATAATGAGGATAATGAGGGAATATTTGAAAGCTTATATTCAAGTAAACTGGACAATCCCAAAGAAAGAGATACATTTCTAGAGTTACTTGAACTACCAAAATTCAATCAAGAAAATATAAATCACTTAAATAGATCTATAAGGAATGAGAATAAAGCAGTAATAAAATTCTCCTGACCACAAAACGTCCAGGATCATATAATTCAGTGCTGAATTTGACCAGACCTTTAAAGAAAAACAAGCATAAATATTCAAAATTTTCCATGAGTAGAGGGGAAAAAATACTTTCAAACTTGCCACGCCTACTCCGGTGGCATGGAACACCTGCTTTCAGACCTGAGAATGGGGCTTCACAGAAGCCTACCTCTGAGAATGGGACTTCACCGAAGTCTACCTCAGAGAATGGGGCTTCAAAGAGGCCTACCTCCTGGAAAGGCTGGCAAACCCCTGGGAAAGATGTCTTTCTCTTCCTGTTTTTCTTTTCTTCGCTGTATAGGAGTGCCTATTAATCTTTTACTGTTCTTGGTGCTTGTTCTACTTACTCATGCTCAACGTTCCCTTATTCAAGGCTCTTTCTTGGAAGTGTTGATGACTCCAACATCTGATGAGTGTCCTGAGAATATGACTAACTCACCAGAGTTAAGTGCTACCCTAAAAGCCCCTCTTATGGAGGCTATTAGACAAGTCATAAGTAAATATAAAAGTATTGGGGGTTTCATGACGTCACTTCAGCAGAAGGAATTGTTTGTAAGAAATTTACAAGAAGCTGCAGTCATGGCTAAAGCAAAAAGAGTGTATGGCTATTGGAGAATTCCTTTTAATCCTAAAGCATATACAATAGACTCATATAGATATCCTGTAGATAAAAAAGTTGCAGAGGGATATTTATACCAAAAGCTAAAAAAGATTCCTAAAAGGTTGATAGATGAAAAGTGGCAATGGCTTATCAGAGGAAAATGGTGGGATCCTCCATTATCTAGAGGACCCCAAAGACTTCCCCCAGATCCATAGCCTTTTACAGGTGTGTAAGGATGGCAACAGATAAGGATTGCAACCGTTGGGTAAACTACTTAGGAGAAAGAAATTCCTATTACTCTCTTTCATTTACTGAGAGACTTGCTAGATCTAGGCCTCCCTGGTGCTTACTATCAAAGAAGGAATAAGAAAGATCTTATGAGACAGTTAAGGCCACTATGGAAAAGAGTAAACGATTATGTAAAAGGTTACAGAAAAGACACTAAGAGCTTAAATTTGATATATGGCCAGATTTAACTAAGTATACTGAATATCATGATTTTGGCCACAAATTGGGGACCCTCTATAGAATGACAAAGAAGCACAATTGCTTTGAAACACATAAAGTACAAAACTAAACAAAAGTAACAATAAAGTACTAGAGTTCATGCCTTTCTGTCCAGCACCTTGCCCATATGCTCTGGTTAATGGTTAATAGGTGATAAACATCGAAACCAATTGTATTTCTTAAAAATATAGGTAAAGCCGAAAACAAGTGCCTATCATCATAGCTCGCCATCCAAAAAACAAGATCAGGCGACCAGCTGGTGACCACCCAAGAAAGAAGCCTTGCAGCAAGATTGTGTAACCTTTTGCCCTTTCTCATGGAGACTTTTGCTATAAAAGCTTGTTATCCTCTGCAATAAATCGCACTCAGCATTCACTCCTCTTGTGTGTGAGTTGTGTTTGCCATCCCCCCACCTGTTCCAGTTACCTCCACTAGGTGTGCTCTGTCGGTACATTTTCCTCTGATAAGCCATTGCCACTTTTCATGAGTTTGTCCGTGGCACAAACTCATCATATGAAGCCAGTATTCCACTTATTCTAAAACTAGACAGTATACAACAAAAAGAGATTTATAGACCAATCTCTATGATGAACATAGATGTAGAAATTCCCAAAATAATTGTTGCATACCAAATGCAATACATCAAAAAGATTATATCCTATGACCAAATTGCTATATTCTAGGTACTCAACGTTAGTGGATCAACATACTTACATCAATAAATGCAATATCACATATGAACAGACTCAAGGAATCCTATTATCATTTTAATTCAGGCAGAAATATCCTTTGACAAAAATTCAACATCTTTTCATGACAAAAGCTCTGGAGAAACTATGAGTTTAGGCAATGTTACTCAATATAATAAATGCTATATTTGACAAGCCTATATTGTCAACGTCATAGTAAATGAAGGCAGAACTAAAATAATTTTTTCTAAAGTTAAGAACAATACAAGACATTCAGTCGACTCCCTTTATTTCTATTCACAATAGCACTGGAATCCTAGCCAGAGCAACAATGCACAAGAAGGAAACAAAAGGGATTCAAATAGGGAATGAAGAAATAAAGTATTTTTATTTTCAGATGATACGATTCTATACTTAAAGCAACTTAAAGTTCCAGAATATAAAGTCAACATTAAAAAACCAATAGCTATTCTGTACATCAACAGAAAAATAGGAGAATAATTCCATTTTCCAATAGTTTCAATTTTTTCTATGAATAAATTTAACCAAGGTGAAAGATTTCTATACTGAAAAACATGAAACATTGAAGAAGAAATATTAAAAAGACACTAGATGCTAGAAAGACCTGCCTTGTTCCTGAATATACAGAATTAATATAAAGAAAATGGCTATATTAAGGAAAGCAATGTTTGCAGATAATGAAATTCCTACCAAAATCTCAATATCATTACTCACAGAAACAGAAAAATATCAATACTACAAATATAGCAAATATCCAATGCAATCTTGAACAAAACTAAAAGTTGAGGGTATCATGATACCTCACTTCAAATTATATTACAAAGCCATAGGAACAAAAATAGCAAGCAACTGGCCCCAAAATAGACATAAAGATTACTGAATAGAATGCCCAGAAATGCTGCTACCACAATCTGATTTCTGACAAAGGATCTGAAGGCATGTATCAGAGAAAAAATAGACTTTGCAAGAAATGGTGCTGGAAAAACTAGCTTTCTTCATGCAGAAGACTGAAACCAGATCTCTTTCCCTCTCTCTCTCCCCCTCTCTCTCTCTTTCTCTCTCTCTCCTAACATCAATTAAAAGTGAATCAAGAATTTTAATGTAAGACCTGAAACTTTGAAACTACTAGTCGTAGTCAAAACACTGGCATGCATTGGCATAGGTAGTGACTTCCTGATTAGAAATTCAATAGCTCAACAAATAAGGGCAAGTATTGACAAATAGAATTATATTAAACTAAAAAGCTTTTACACAACAATGTCTCTAGAGGCTAAAGGGACAACCTACTGTATGGGAGAAAATCTAAAGCAATTATTCATCTGATGAAGAATATACATAATACAGAATATACAGTATATACATAAAACTCAAAACACTGAACTCTTCAAGAATAAAAATGGGCAAAAGTGCTGAACAGATCATTCTTGGGGTAAGAAGAACAAAAGGCCAATAAATACATAAAGAAATGCATAACATCCCTGGCCATAAAGAAATGCAAATCAAAATGACAGAGATTTCATCCCACTCCAGCCAATATGGCTAGAGCAGAAACAACATCACATAACACATGAGGATGCCAAGAGAAAGGAGTCCTGTTAGTGGGAATGCAAATTAGTGCAATTATTATGTAAATAAGCCTAAACTGATTTCCTAAAAAAAAAAATAGTACTGTATGCTGCAACCATGTCATGATTGGGTATTTTATTTATTGAATATTTTTAGTGGGAGTAGGTATTGAATTTAGATCCTTGAACTTGCTAGGCTGGTGCTCTACCACTGGAGCCACACCTCCAGCTCTGCTTTATGCTGGTCATTTTCAAGATGGAGTCTAGCAAACTTTCTTAGGCAGGTTGTCTTTGAACTATGATCCTCCATATCTTAGCCTCCTGAGTAGGATTACATGTATAAGTTATCATCATTTGGCTCACATTTAGGCATTTATCTGAAGGAATGAAAGTCATAAAACAATAAATGTACTTATATATCCATGTTCATTACAGCACTTTTCTTAATAGCCAAACCTGAGAAAAACCCAGATGCCCTATAACTGATGAGTGACTCCAAATATGTGCTCTATATACACAATGGGCAAGGAAAAGAACCACATGGTCATCACAATAGATGGGGAAAAACATTTGACAAGCTCCAACACCGCTTTATGATGAAAGCTGTGGAGAGTCCAGGAATATATGGGACATTCTTCAATATAATATAGGCATATATAATATAGACAGACCTACAGCCAGCATTTATTTAATGGTGAAAAGTTAAAACCATTCCCTCTAAAATCAAGAATGAGAGAAGGATGTTCACTCTCTCCACTCCTCTGCAATATAGTACTGGAATTTCTAGTCAGAGCAATAAGGCAGGAGACAAACATAAAAGGGATCCAAATAGGGAAAGAAGAAATAAAACTCTCCCATTTTCCAGATGACATGATCCTGTATTTAAAGAGCCCCATGGATTCCTTTCCTAAGTTACTTTGGCTGATTTGAAACTTGGTAAATTAGCAGGGTATAAAATTAACCCCAAACTGGGCACTGGTGGCTTATGCCTGGCATCCTAACCACTCAGAAGGCTGAGATCTGAGGATCATGGTTCAAAGCCAGCATAGGCAGGAAAGTCCATGTGGCTTATCTCCAATTAAGCACCAGAAAACCCGAAGTGTCATTGTTGCTCAAAAGTTAGAGCACTTACCTTGAGCTGAAGAGTGCTGGGACAGAGCCCAAGCCCAGAGTTCAGGCCACATGACCACCAGAGGAACAAAGAAAGAAAGAAAGAGAGAGAGAGAGAGAGAGAGAGAGAGAGAGAGAGAGAGAGAGAGAGAGAGAGAGAGAGAGAGAGAGAGAGAAAGAAAGAAAGAAAGAAAGAAAGAAAGAAAGAAAGAAAGAAAGAAAGAAAGAAAGAAAGAAAGAGAGAAAGAAAGAAAGAGAGAAAGAAGGAAAGAGAAAAAAGAGAGAAAGAAAGAAAGAAAGAAAGAAAGAAAGAAAGAAAGAAAGGAAGAAAGAAAGAAAGAAAGGAAGAAAGAAAGAAAGGAAGAGAGAGAGAAAGAAAGAAAGAGAGAGAGAGAAAGGAAGGAAGGAAGAAAGAAACCCACAAAAATCAGTAGCTTTTCTGTATGCCAATAAGGAGAAGAGTGAATCTAAAATCAGGAAAGAAAGTCCTTTTGTAATAGTCTCAAAAAATACTTTGGAATTACCAAAGAGAAGAAGGACCTCTGTGATTAAAACTCTAGAAACAGGTTTAAGGAAGTAGGAAAACCTCCCATTCTCCTGGATTGGAAGGTTTAACATCATGAAAATAGCAATATTGCCCAAAGCTACCTACAAATTCAATTCAATGCCCATCAATATCCAACAAAATTCTTCAGTGATATAGAACAAACAATCCAAAAACTAATCTAGAATAATGGAAGACCCTGAATAGCACAACCAATCCTTAGTAGGAAGATCAGTGCTGGAGGAATATCAGTACCAGGAGGAATATCAGTACCAAGCTTTAATCTCAATTAAAAAGCTATAGAAATTAAAACAAACAAACCAAAACAACTTAGTACAGGCACAAAATAGGACAGAGGAGCAATGGAATAAAATAGAAGAACCAGAAATGAATTTACAGACCCATAGCCACCTAGTATTTGGTAAGGGAGCCGAAGGATGGCAAAAAGGACAGCCTCTTCAAAATTGATGCTGGCAGAACTGGCTACCCAGTACTTGTGCAGAAAACTGAATTTAGATCCTTATATATCAACCTGCACCAGAATCAACTCCAAATGGATGAAAGACTTCAATGTAAGATCAGATACCATGATAATATTACAGGAAGATATAGGGGACATGTTAGGGGGGTGGTACAGTTCAAAACTTACTAAGTAATGATCCAGAATCAGAACAAATCAAAGGCTAGGTAAATGGGATTGCATACAACTAAAGAGTTTCTGCCTGGCAAAAGACATGCTTTAACAATTGCTGGTGGGGATGTGGCCAGAAGGGAACATTATTACACTGTGGTTAGGAATGCAAACTGGTTTAACTACTCTGGAAAGCAATATGGAGGTTCTTCAATAGACTAAACATATAACTTCCCTATGACCCAGCAATTTCACTCCTGGGTGTGTATCTAACTGTCTAAAATCAGGCTATACAAAATGCCACCAGCATGACCATGTTCATTGCATCATTTATTATCATACACAAGACATGGAATCAGTTCAGATGTCTCTCAATGGATGAATGGATCAAGAAAATGTGGCCAGGCACTGGTGGCTCATGCCTGTAATCCTAGCTACTCAGGAGGCTGAGATCTGAGGATCGTGGTTCAAAGCCAGCCTGGGCAGGCAAGTTCAATAAACCACTAGAAAAAAATGGAAGTGGTGTTGTGGCTCAAGCCGTAGTGCATTTGCCTTGAGCTGAAGAGCACAAGGACAGGGCCCAAGCCCAGAGTTCAAGCCCCACGATGACAAAAAAAAGAAAAGAAAAAGAAAATATTGTATGTAACAATTCTCAATAAGAAATATACTCATTGCCTTACTCATGTAACTGTAACCAGTCTGTATAGCATCTTTAGAATAGAACAAAACTGTTTTTAAAAAAGAAAGAAAATGTGGTATGTATACACAATGTAATTCTATGCTTCCATTGGAGAGCATGACATTGCCTCGTTCATAAGGAAATGAAAGACTTGGAAAAAAAATTTACTAAGTGAAGTAAGACAGACCCAAAGAAATACAGGCTGCATAATTTCCCTCATTTGTAATAATTAAAATGTGTCTATAAATCTACAAAGAAATTCCAATGGATAGTAAAAGACAAATAACTACACTTGGACATGATGAATTAAACAGAAGTCTAAACATTCATACAGTGAGACCAAAGGAGGATATCCTTAAGAGAGGGCTCAATAGTTATGTACATATGAGCATATAAAATGATATTTATAGAAATGAACTCCAAAAAATGGAAGTAAAAAGTTTTTATTGTACTGTTTCAGTATTTTTTTAAAAAATCGTTCTTCTCTTCTTTTCTTTCTTTTTCTTTTAATTATTTTTATTTTTTTTTTACTGTGAATATACTGTACAGAGGGGTTACAATTACATGGGCAAGATAATGAGTACATTTATTATCAAGCATTGTAGCCTCCTCCTTTGTTTCCCCTTCCCATCCCTTCCCAACCTCCTCCCGCTCCCCCACCCCAGCCTTCCAGGCCCCCCCCCCCCACCAAAGCTGTAAAGTTCGTTTTTGACATAACTACTTGTACACCTCATTGTTGCAATGGGCCCACCTGTATCCTTATTTAAACGACTTGTTTTTCCCCTTACTCTCCACAAATTAAACCGACATCAAATACAGTGAAAGCAGGGTTTATAATGTGGGGGAGGGACATACAAAGCAACAAAGAAATAATCTTACAAATGTGTTAGAAACAATCGCATGAAAGAAAAAAATATTTGAATACATATCTTAGGGTTCATTTTCCTAATATCACCTTATCTGACCTTTTTTGCTTGACTCAGACATATACTAGAGACTGCAAATGAGGGAAACCTTGGGAACTATGTTTCTTTGGGCTTGGCTTACATCACTTAATATAACTTTTTCCGAATCTTCCCATTTCCTAACAAATGGGGAAATGTCTTTCTTTCTGATGGAGGCATAGAATTCCATTGTGTATACGTACCACATTTTCTTGATCCATTCATCAACTGAGGGGCATTGGGTTGGTTCCAGATCTTAGCTATGGTAAGTAATGCTGCAATAAACATAGTTGTGCTGGTAGCTTTAGTGTGGTCTTGTTTGTAAACATTTGGGTAAATGCCCAAAGTGGGATTGCTAGGTCATAGGGGAGCTCTATGTGGAGACATTTAAGGAACCTCCATACTACATCCCAAAGTGGTTAAACAAGTTTACACTCCCACCAACAATGCAGTAAGATTCCCTTCTGTCCAAATCCCCTCCAGCATCTGTTGTTGTTAGAGTTCTTGGTTACAGCCATTCTAACTGGTGTGAGGAGGTATCTCAATGTTGTTTTGATTTGCGTTTCTTTTATGGCTAGAGAGATTCCCTTCTGTCCAAATCCCCTCCAGCATCTGTTGTTGTTAGAGTTCTTGGTTACAGCCATTCTAACTGGTGTGAGGAGGTATCTCAATGTTGTTTTGATTTGCGTTTCTTTTATGGCTAGAGAGGTTAAGCATTATTCACGTGTGTATTGGAAATCCTTCTTTCTTCTTCAGAGGAGTTTCTGTTTAAGTCTTTAGCCCCCTTATTAATTGGGCAGTTTTTTCTTTGAGGATTTGTTGTAGGGGGATTTAATTTTTTGAGTTCTAGGTATATTTTAGATATGAGACCATTGTCCGTTATATGGCAGTGATGATCTTGTCTCAATCTGAGGGCTTTCTATAGATCTTGCTTGCTATGTCTTTTGCCATGCAGAAGCTCTGCAACTTCATGCAATCCCATTTGTCCAACCTTTCTTTGATTTGTTGTGTTTCTGGGTCTCTATTAAGAAAATTTCGGCCTGCACCAAGGAGACCTACGGTTTCTCCTATTCCATCCTGTAATGTTTTCAGAGTGTCTACTTTGACTCCGAGGTCTTTGATCCATTTGGAGTTGATTCTGGTGCAGGGTGATATATAAGGATCAAGCATTAGTTTTCTACAAGTAGTTAACCAATTTTGCCAGCACCATTTACTGAAGAGGCTGTCTTTCTTCCATTCTACTGTTTTAGCTCCCTTATCGAAGATTAGATGGCTATAGGTCATTTCTGGGTTTTCAATTCTATTCCATTGGTCCTGAGGTCTGTTCTTCTGCCAGTACCAAGCTGTTTGATTACTATGGCTTTATACTACAGTTTGAAATTTGGTATTGATATTTCTCCAGCAGTGTTCTTTCCGTTGAGGAGCCTTTTAGTTATTCGGGGTCTTTTATTATTCCATATGAATATTTGAATTGCCTCTTCTATTTCCTTGAAGAATGAGGTTGGAATTTTGCTAGGAATCACATTGAATTTGTAGATAGCCTTGGGAATTATTGCCATTTTGACGATGTTGATCTTTCCAATCCAGGAGCATGGGAGTTTTTGCCATTTTCTACGTTCTGCTTTGATATCCTTTTTTCACGTTTTTAAAATTTTCATCATAGAGTCCTTCACTTCTTTCGTTAAGCTTATTTCTAGGTATTTTATTTTTGTGGGGTTATTACAAATGGAGTTGCTTTCCTAATTACAACCACACTTTTCTCATTGTTGGCATACAGAAAAGTCATTGATTTTGGGGGTTTAATTTTATACACTGCTACTTTGCCAAAGTTTTCAATCAGCTTGAGTGATTTGGGAGTGGAGTCTATGGGTTGCTTTAAATACAAGATTCTGTCATCTGCAAAGAGAGAGAGTTTTACTTCTTTTCTTATTTGGATCCTCTTTATGTTTGAATCTTGTCTTATTTCTGTAGCTAGGCATTGTAATAATAGATTGAAGAGAAGTGGAAAGAGTGGATATCCTTGTCTTCTTCCTGAGTTAAGACGAAATGACTTTAGTTTTTCACCATTAATATTATGCTGGCTGTAGGTTTGTCATATACAGCTTTTATTGTATTGAGGAATGTTGCATTGATTCCTAATTTTTCAAAAACCTTCATCATAAAGGGGCGATTGATCTTGTCAAATGCTTTTTCAACATCTATTGAGATAACCATGTCGGTCTTATCTTTGCTCCTCTTGATGTGATTAATTATATGAATTGATTTGCATATATTGAAGAAGCTTTGCATCCCTGAAATGAATCCTGTTTTATAATGGTGTATGATGTTTTTATGAATTGTTGATGTACCTGTTGACCTAGATTGTATCTGCAGACTATTGACTGTGCAAATACAGACTTTGGTTGATGCTTGCCTTAAGATAGTGTTCTAGCACAAAACTGGTGTTATTTTCATCCCAAATGGGCAGAGTAAGGCGAAAAAAAAACACAAGGAAAATGGCAAGTCCCGGTATCTCACTCCCACTCATGATAATCAGGGACAGAATAGATAATAAATAATCCAGAATAGAGTTCCCAAATAGCTCTATAAACACTGCTGGCCAACATGATAAATGAAAAGATTGAAAACCTACAAAGGACTCTGTATGAGCGTGATAGTGAGAGAGAGGAGGCAAACCAAAGGTTTATACAGGAATAGCATGAGTGTGAGGAAGATACTCAAAAACTAATACACAACTTGCATGAGCAGCTTGAGAATTCTCAAAGAGAAAGGCAGGAATGGCGTAGGAAGGCTAAGAACACTCAAAGAGAACTACAGGAATGGCGTGAACGTGAGGAAGCTAAGCAAAGAGTAATACAGGAATTGCGAGAGCAGGATGAGAATACACAAAGATCACTAAAAGCATGCATGGAATCCATTAACAAAGAGCTGAAGGAAGTCAGGTAAAGGGAATGCTGAATAGAACCCAACAGAAGGAATGGAAGTCC